AATAGAAGGAGAGGAAGGAGGGTGGTGATGTTTCGCGGTGGTTGGTGGTTCGGTCTTGGGGTTAGGAGATGATGAAGGAAGAGGGATGGGTTTGGTGAGCGGTGGTTGGTGTGGGATTTTCTGGTTTGTGGCTGTCGGTGAATGTGGATGGTCCTGGGCCGCGGTGGTGGATAGTGAGAATGGTGAAGGTTGGGTTGGGATTAAGGTTGGTGGAATGGGAATGGAGATGAGAGGGAGAGGGAAATGGTGGTGGTGTTCGCGGTGAGAGAGTAGAGAAGAGGAAAAAATTTCAAAGAGAACAGGGGGTTCGTCTACGACTGAGGAAAAAAAATTGGGGGGGGGGGCAATCAAATTAGGGTTTTTTATTTTTATTTTTGAATTTGGAACTGGCGCTGACAGCGTGGTATTCACGCTGTTAGCGCGGACCTCTCTGTGAGTTTTTGACTCAGTGGCGCTGTCTGCGTGAAGTTCACGTTTCTGGCATGAATTTCTTGTAAAATTTTCACGCTTACAGCGCCATCATGAAAGTGTGAAACTCACTATGAGCATTTTTCTTCTGGCGCTACTAGCGCTAGGTTGGCACTAACAACGCCAGTTCCCAGGTTTATCTTTTTGCTTTTGTCACTTCTTCACCAAAAATAAAATAAAATAAAATAAAATAAAAAAATAAAATAAACTGAAACATGACTATTGGGTTGCCTCCCAATTAGCGCTTGTTTAATGTCACGAGCCTGACGTGAATAGTCTAAGACTTAGGTGAAGTCAAAGGGACAGAAACCTTGTCCCTATTTACCTGTCCTCCATAGTACAATTTCAGCCTACATCCATTAACTTTGAAAGGATTATCATTGTCTATAGGAGAAACTTCTACTGTGCCATAAGGATATATCAAAGGGACCTGACCAGCAGGATTTGAGTTTACCTGGAAACAATCTCAGTCGAAAACTGTACAATAATACCTGTTGTCCCAGCTCAAATTCCTTCGGAACTATCTTCATGTCATGCCATCGTTTTGTCTTCTCCTTGTAAATTTTAGCATTCTCATACACAGCCAACCTAAACTAATTAAGCTCATTTAATTGCAAAAGTCTTTTCTCATTAGCAGTTTTCACATCAAAATTAAGGAATTTAGTTGCCCACATAGCCTTATGTTCTAATTCTACAGGAAGGTGACAAGACTTACCGTACACCAGTTAGAATGGTGACATGCCTATTGGAGTCTTGAAGGCTGTCAGGTATGCTCAAAGTGCATCATCAAGCTTCTTTGACCAGTCCTTCCTTGAATTTCCCACAGTCTTCTCTAGGATTTGCTTCAGCTCCCTATTTGAAATCTCCACTTGTCCACTTGTCTGCGGATGATAAGGTGTCGCCACCTTATGATTAACTCCATACTTAGCAAGTAGACTCTAAAACTGCTTGTTGCAGAAGTGGGATCCTCCATCGCTTATGATAGCTCGTGGAACTCCAAATCTTGTGAATATGTTCTTTCGCAGGAAAGACACAACCATCTTAGCATCGTTTGTTGGAAGAGCTGCAACTCTCACCCACTTTGACATGTAGTCCACAGCCACCAAGATGTATTGATTAGAGTAGGAGCTGGGAAAGGGTCCCATAAAATCTATGCCCCACACATCAAATATTTATATCTCTAGAATGCTATTCAAGGGCATATCATTCCTCCTTGAGATGTTCCCAGTCCTCTGGCATCTATCAATCTCTCTATGAAAATTCGAGCATCCTTGAATATGGTGGGCCATTAGAATCCACTCTGTAAGACCTTTTGAGCGGTACGATTCCCAGCAAAGTGTCCTCCATAATCTGAACCATGACAATGCCATAATATGTTTTCCACCTCTTCTTCAGGCACACATCTTCGCATCATTCCATCAGTACAAACAAAGTAAAGGAAAAGATCATCCCATAAATATCTCCTTGCATCATAAAGAAATTTCTTTGTTTGCTGCCGAGTAAGTCCTTGGGGAATTGATCCTACAGCTCTATAATTAGCAAAATCCGCAAACCATGGTAGGCGGATAACTCCCATTACTTGTTCATCTGGGAACGCATCTTGGATCTCTATTTCAGGTCCATCTTGCAGCTCCTTGACTTGAATTCAGGATAGGTGGTCAGCTACTAAATTCTCCACACATTTCTTTTCCCCAATCTCTAATTCAAATTCCTAAAATAACAACATCCAATGTAGAAAACGTGGCTTGGCATCTTGCTTATTCAGAAGATGCTTCAAAGCAGCATGGTCAGTAAAAACAATAACTTTAGACCCAATCAGATAAGATCTAAACTTGTCTAATGCATAAACTACAGCTAGCATCTCTTTTTCAGTAGTGGCATAATTAACTTGTGCCTAATTTAAAACTTTACTAGCATAGTATATGACATGTAACAACTTATCCTTATGCTGCCCGAGAATTGCTCTGACAGCATATGCACTTGCATCGCACATGAGTTCGAACGGAAGGATCCAATCAGGTGCTATCAAGACAGGTGCAGTGGTCAGCTTCTCCTTCAAAAGATTGAAAGCTGTTAGGCAAGCTTCATCAAATATAAATTCAGCATTCTTGACCAACAGTTGACTCAATGGTTTGGCAATTTTGGAGAAATCTTTGATGAACCTCCTGTAAAAACCTGCATGTCCAAGAAAACTACGAACATTGTTAACATTAGTGGGAGGGGGAAGTTTTTCAATAATCAATAGCTTAGCCTTATCCACTTCAATTCCTTTTTCAGAAATACGGTGTCCTAAAACTATGCTATCCCTTACCATAAAATGACGTTTCTCCCAATTTAAAACTAAATTAGTTTCTTAACAACGCTGCAAAACACAAGAGAGGTTAGCCAAACATGAATCAAAAGAATCACCAAAGACAGAAAAATCATCCATGAATACCTCAATGAATTTTTCTATCATATCAGAGAATATGGAGAGCATGCACCTTTGAAATGTGGCTGGAGCATTGCATAATCCGAACGACATTCTCCTATATGCGAATATACCAAATGGGCATGTGAACGCAATCTTCTCTTGATCCTCTAGTGCAACTGCAATCTGATTATACCCCGAGTAACCATCCAAGAAACAATAATATGAATACCCAACTAATCTTTCAAGCATTTGATCCATGAACGGAAGAAGGAAGTGATCCTTTCTTGTAGCGGCATTGAGCCTTCGGTAATCGACACACATCCTCTATCCTGTTATTGTTCTTGTTGGGATCAACTCATTGTTTTCATTCTGCACTACAGTTACTCCACCTTTCTTTGGCACTGTTTGCACTGGACTCACCCATGCACTATCTGAAATGGGGTAAATCATACCAGCATCTAGGAGTTTAACTACTTCCTTTCTAACCACTTCCTTCATGGTTGGATTCAATCTCCTTTGTGGTTGACGAATTGGCTTCACATCGTCTATCATCAGAATCTTGTGAGTGCAAAAAGAAGGACCGACTCCTCTCAAGTCAGAGAATGACCAGCCAATTGCAGACTTATGTTTCTGCAACATAGTCACAAGCTTTGTTTCTTCTTCGAGAGATAAATTTTTATTGATAATCACTGGATATGTATCATTATCTCCCAAGAATACATCAAGTTTTCAGGAAGTTCTTTCAACTCCAACTTGGGACTAGCCACAGATTTATCTTCAGGTTTCCTAGTCAGCTCAACTGACTCTTCTTCTAGTGCATTTGAAACATCAGTTGAGTCTATGGCTTTAACTACCTCAGTAAGCAAATCATCATTCAATAGTTCAGATGACTTAGGATTTTTGCAAACTGCTCTTCAACGGTAGGAGGATTTGCTTTTTCAAAAATATTTTCTAACATTACTTCTTCTATTACATCAATTTGAAAGCAATGTCCTTTATCTTCAGGATGTTTCATGGATTCAAACACATTGACTTTAAATTCACCATCATTAACTCTAAATATCATTTCACCTTGCTCAACATCAATTAATGTCCTAGCAGTTGCTAAGAACTGTCTTCCCAAGATGAGAGGCGTATTATCATCCTCTTCCATTTTAAGTACAACAAAATCGGCTGGAAAATATAATCATTTACCTTTATAAGGACATCTTCCAGCACTCCTTCTGGCATCTTGATGGATCGATCATCAAATTGGAGAGACATAAAAGTAGATTTCATCTCTGTAATCCCCAAAGATTGTGCAAAAGAGAGAGTCATCAAGTTGACACTGGCTCCCAAATCACATAGAGCTCTCCCTACTTTAACATTCCCGGTCGTACAAGAGATACTGAATCTCCCTAGATCTTTGACTTTAGATGGCAGTCTGATAACTCATATTTTGTTACACTTATTTATTATTCTTGGTTGGTATTTTTATGATTTATTTGAATTAAATAAAGGTCTTTTGGGTCAAATCACAATTCTAGATTTTAATTGGGTTTAATTGATTTTCGTTATAATTTTTCAGATTTACACTACTTTCGTATTTTGACCATATCTCACTCTACAGATGTCCGATTTACTCCCTTTTTATTTCCTTTTGCAGCTAACAGATAGGTCTACAATCTTTATTTCAGCTGCTGAAGCCCAATTCGAACGAGAAGATGGTCTAAACCTGAGCTCAAGATGACATGTTTTTGCTGGAATTTTATTTTGACGTTTGGACTTGTAATTCACATTAGGATCCAATGTGTTTAGGGCAATGTTATTAAACTCGACCCGGTCATCGACCCGGTCGAGGTACTGGGTCAACCAGTGGGTCACTGGTTCAACCGCATGACCCGGTAAGTATATGCAAACCTGTAATTTATACTCAAATACCTGTAAAAAAATACCAATTCCAAATATTCTAATTTAAAATGCAATTAATCAAATACTATTGTCCAACAAAAGATAAAACAAATATATAATACTTGTCTAGTTCTTAAACACTTAATATCTAGCACAAGTTTAGAACAATAACTCTTGTCGATATCAAGAGAAAACAAACAAATCAAATTACTAGCACAAAAACATATAATTATGCCCACGGAGGCAAAGTTGTGTCAATTAATTCATCCTCTCCTCCTTCATCAAATAAATCCAAAGCTTGACCAACATTGCCTTCAGTTTGATTTGCATTTTCCATGATGTTGTCTTGTGCCTCATCTTCATCATCATCATCAAAATTTAATTGATCTAAAACAAATATTATTTTTTCATGTAAGTTAGTTATTAACATGAAGTAATCAAACAATCAAATAATCATAGAACAATAAGTAAACATACCATTATCATCTAGAGTTGGTTGAGTGGACATATTTGCAAGCTCATTCCGTAAGGTTTCCATTTCTTCAGCTGTTAAGTATGGTGGTGAATCCTCTAGTACCCAATTAGAATGGTCCTCAAATGTTTCAAAATTTATTGGATCATAGTTTTGATTCTTCAATCGATTCCTATGCATACAAAAAAAAAATTGTTCAATTTTCAACATTAGAAATACTTGGAGAAATAATTATATAAAAAAAAGTAAATACTCAATAATACCTTTGTGCCAGCCTCAAGTTGTAACGGACATAGACAAGATCATTAAGCTTTTGGTGCTCTAATCTATTTCTCTTATTCGAATGAATATGTTCAAATGCACTCCAATTGCGTTCACAACCCGAAGCACTACATGTTTGACTTAAAACACGAATAGCCAATTTTTACAAATTTGGTGCACCACATTCATAAGATTCCCACCATTGATCTAGAATATTGCATGTGATAAAATAAATTAGTATTAATATTATTCAGCAATAATAAGAATTAATGCTCATAAAAAAAAAGATATCAATGATAAATTTTACCTGGCATCACGGTATTTTGTTCGCGTTTAGCAGATTGCCTTCCAAAATCTAACTCAACATTTTTGAAAATTCTCATCTCACTTGTCAACTTAGAATTTAAATCAGGATCCCCATAAGCATATTTCTCAATGACATCCAAAAGGCCTGATGTTGTGAACTTATGTTTTTCAAATTCTTCATCATTGTAACGACAACCTGGATTCAACCAATAACCAGCAGCATGAAGATTTTTGCGAAGCTGTGAATCCCAACGACGATCTAAGATTTGCAAGTAAGGCTCCACCTTCTTCTTGTTTCTTTGAAATCTCTTTATCATCTCCTCTCTAGCTTTAAATATAGCTCGATAAAGAAAACCCATGGCAGGTTTGTTTTCACTGTCAACAATACGTAACACACGAATAAGTGGCTCAGTAAGCTTCACAATCTCAGCACATTGTTTCCAAAAATTAGAATCTAAAACTTGTTCCACAAATTTTTTTGCCTTGGCCTCCTTAGAATAAGTTGAGCTTGTCTAATCTCTAGAAGTTACCATAGCCCTTAATGCATCTTTTTGAGCCAATATGCTTTGTAATGCAATAAAATTAGTGGCAAAACGAGTAGGAGCTGGACGAAGAATTTCCCTTCCACCTGTATATTTTCTTATCAAATGCAATGGATGACAATGGTTATATATGTATTTGGTAATTTTGGTAGCAAGAGACACAACAACACTTACTTCCTCTAGCTTTCCAATGTCATGTAACATCAAATTTATACAATGAGCAGCACAAGGAGACTAAAAAATGTTAGGAAACTCAGCCACCAATAACCTTCCAACAGCAACATAATTTGCAGCATTATCAGTCACAATCTGAACAACATTTTCAGGGCCAACATGCAACACTACATCTCTAAAAAGCTTATACAATAAGTCTGCAGTTTTAGAAGCATTAGAAGCATCAACCGACTTGAGAAAAATAGTTCCTTTTGGGCAGTAAACTAGAAAATTGATTAGAGTTCTCCTACAACGATCAGTCCACCCATCTGTCATAATAGTGCATCCTGTTTGCTTCCAAACAGTGCGATAACTCTCAACAAGTTTATTGACTTCTCTAACCCATTTATTTAACAAATGACCACGAACTCTATAAAAATTTGGACCTTTATACCCTGGACCCATGCTACAAATAACATCAATCATTGGTTGGTAATATGATGAATTAACAGCATTAAATGGCACACCAGCATCAATCATCCATTTGGAAATTGCAAGGTCACACTTCTCCATTACTTCTTTACTTTGCAACACATTTTTTATGCCAGGTTAAGCTCCAGGAGTTGTTCTGGGCATAAAATAAGAACCTAAAGGATTAATACTCTTCCCCTTTTGAGATGTAGAAGGTGCTTTTCTTGATGGATTTTGTGGCACTTCATCAATTACTCTCACTTGATCTTCATCTAATGGATTACTATCTTCATATTCCTCTTGAACTTTTCTTTTTTTGTTCCTGCCCTCATCAATATTTTGCTTCATTTGAAAACGAATATATGTTGGAACCTTCTTGCATTGTTCAACTTGCCCTTTTTCTCCTGCCAAGTGAATCTTAAGTCGATTGATGCCGCCTCCCTTGATTATCTTATCACAATAAAGACATATTAGAGCAGTTTTTCCATTCTCTTCAACTTGTTGTTTACAGTGTGCCTAACTTGGATCAGTTTTTCCCTTGTGTTGATTTCTTTGAGATGATTGTTGAGATGAAATTTCTTGTGAGACTGGTGCTTCAGGTTCAGTAGATGACATATCTAGCTATATATCCAGCTTACCTACCACAAATTATATACACACATTTTATCATCTAATCCTAATATATATATATATGTTCACGATCTAATGGTGCTGCATGTAGTTGTCAAATAACCGTTAGGTATCATCTAGCATACACTACAATTTTATTAATCCCAATTTAAATGATCAAGCACAGAACCAATAAGATCATATATAAACCAATAAGAACCATGAAGCACAAAAACAATGCAAAATATGTTTGAGCATGGCCATATCAACGACTTAACATCTTAATTAATAATCATTGGTTTAAGAGATAGTGGCCCCTATAATGGGTCTTACAGGCTACAACACTCAAATTAGATTAATGTTAAGCTAATGTAATTTACAGCTTCAGTTAATTGGGAGCAAAAACAATAGTTAATTGGCAGGTACTAAAGAATCAACATTCATTTATTTAAGCATCAAAACTTGAGGACCTGTCTTTGATTGAAAAAATAACGAAAAGGATAGGATATGTAAACACAAAAACATGCAAAATGTCAAACACAGAGTTGCTTTATAAATATGAAATGGATGGGTAGGCTTCTTGTAATTATCAAAAGAAAAAACTTCATGTTAATTGTTCTAAAAAAAAAACTATACTGAATTGGAGAAGTTGCAGTGATGTTTCTATTCAACAGATACTAAGCTAACGGAAAAGTAGTGCAATATGGAAGGTACCATTGTTGTTACTCTTCAGTCATTGTTAAGTGACAAGAGAATCTGTCTCACATTCTATCATTCTGTGAGTTCTACTACTATCCTGCTTGTGTTAGAAGTAAATATTATTTGCTCTATAATTCTAGCTAATTTGACAATGAAACTCTTCCCTTTTATGGATGTGAGGGAAAAAAATTAATCTATAAAAATATCCTATTGGTCCTAAAATTAATCTATAAAAACTCTTCCCATTTATGAAACTCTTCCTTTTTATGAATCTAGCTAATTTGACAATGAAACTCTGTTGGCAGAACAGAGCGGTCTTAAAATCATTGAAGTACATTAGAGATTAGACTCAGATTTTCCTAACGGTCCATAAAAATATTTTTCTGTTTACATATCCTATCCTTTTCGTTATTTTTTGTCCAATTTTTATTACCCAAATGGCCATTAATACGGCAAAATGAAGATCTAAACGAAAAAACGAACAGGTTGACGAACTTGCTTACAGCACCGACACAATTACAACCATGGTTACAACACCGACACAAAAAAAAAACATGCATAAAAGAAAAGAAAAAACGCAAAGTTAGGGGAACCTTACCAGAAGATCTAAACAAAAAGAAAAAACTCAAAGTGAAGAACAATGCCTGAAACTTGAGTTGACGAACTTGCTCAATGTAGTTTGCTCAGTGTCTCGCTGACGAACAGTGCTTGAAACTAGCTGAGATGAGATGAGACTTGAGACTTGAGGGTTTGAGACTAGCTGATTAGGAATAAAGCGAGTCAGGTGGGTCATGTGACCACGTCGTATTAGTTTTTTTTTTTTTAATGAATACGCATGACCCGTCCGGTTTTTATAAAATCCGTCCGGGTCACCGGTTCTCCTAAACCTGTACGGTTCACACCGGTTCGTACCGGTTCCATGACAAGTCCGATCCAACGTCCAACCCAGACCGGTTTAGGGACCGGGTCACCGGTTTTCGGGCTGACCCAGCCGGGTCGGTTTGGTTTTGATAACACTGGTTTAGGGCCCAAGGTCATGTTTTATTGTTTTATTTTATTTTATTCAGCTTTTATTTTATGTATGGGCCGAAGCGGTGAAACCCTATCCGTTCTGAATGACGGCTATTTAAGGGAGACTTTAGGAAACCCTTCGACAGTCAGTTTTTGGGAGTTTTGACGACAGACGAGTTTTCTCTGAATTTCAATTCAATTCTGTTCTTCTTCTTCATCTTCTGTTCTTATTCTTTTTAATTTTTAATTATGTTTACCTTAGCCATGCGAGGCTAAGAACCTTTTAATCAACCTAAGGGTAACAGATTCCATGGATTAGTCTTGAAGATCTGCGCTTTATTTTAAATCAATTTCGTTTTCCTTCAAAACTCAGATTGATATCGTGCAATCGTGGATATTCAATCTAAGGTTCGCGATTGCGATTATCGAAAGGGATTAATCATCAAATTTGATGATTAGATTGATTGAACTTAAATCAAACGGGCTGATACTCTGCGATTGTATGAGTAAAAGCATCGTATTTGATCAAATGCTTTTGGAGCTAGGTACATCCTCATTCTCTTCAGGAGCTAATTCTTCAATGAGTTATAAAGATGTAGCTGGAGCTTTGTTAACTAATGATCCATTAGCAGCTGCATTCAGAAATTTTCTATCAGCAGGGCATATACCATGGTAGAAGATCCTTACCTTATCTCCCGCTTGAAGAGCATATTATGAGCAAGCGGACAATAAGCCTTTGAATCACCTCCAAGCCGCTCCTAAAGGTTCACCATCATTCTGAGAGAAATGGTCAATCTCTCGCTTCTTCTGCATGAACTTAGAAAGAGTAAAGAACTTCTTTCTAAATTTAACCACCAAATCATCCCATGAAGTGATGCTTCCTTCCGGTTCATTCCTTAGCCATTCCTTTCAATGTAAAAGGAAACAATATCAAACGGATAGCATCAGTACTAACTCCATTATGCTTGTGAAAACGACATAGTTCCAAAAATCCTGACACATGAAGATTGGGATTGTAGTCGTCTTCCCCTGAAAATTGGTTGCTCTGGAACAGCTGCAGGAAGGCCGGATGAACTTCAAAATTGTTGGCCTGGATTGGTGGAATGATGATTGCATCAGTGACAGGTGCAAATGATGGGTTGGGGAATTGCTCCATGGTATCCTCATTTCCTTCAGCCATAGTTGATGTTCCTTCTTGGAAGAGTGATCAGTTCACTCTTTCTTTTTCTTTTTGCTCCTTAGTGAGCCTTCTGTTTTCCCTTGCGATCTTTTCAATTTCCGATTCGTAGAGCAAGTCGTTTGGATCAACTGTACCTCGCGTAAACCAGAATTTAAAATAAACCAGTAAGGGTAAAAAAAATAAAAATAAAATAAAATAAAGGTCGAATCTTAAACTCCACAGATACTACTATTGTTGAAATTTAGTCCCCGGCAACAGCGCCAAAAACTTGTTGCGAACACGGCAAGTATATCGGTCGTACAAGTAATAAAGTGATTAAGTAAGAGTATCGTTCCCACGAGGACTAAATTCAAGCAATAGGTTCGCCGTTTTTATCTAAGTTAGACAAATCCAAAAGGTGTTTTCCAAGGTAACCAATATTCAAATAAAAATCAATTAAGGATGACTGTAAACGAAATTAATTAAAAAGCTAATTCGAAATAAGAAGCGAGTTTAAAATCAAGAATAAAAACTGTAGCCAGGATGCACTTCACCTCCGATCCTCCCTTATATTCCTATATTGTACTTTATAATTAATTAATTGGTTTGCTCAGACAATTCATTATTTTCCTATAGATTAGTTGAACCCTAATGTCTTAGTAATTTCAACCCTTTAACTTAATTAGAATCCTAGTGTCCTAGTAATCCTTCTTAAATTAAGCATTAAGCAAATGAATTATAAGTCTGCAATCTATGTAAGCCCATGTCTAGGTCATGCATAAATTGTTATTCTACCCTTATCCAAACTAAAATCCTAATATGTCTATTGTGAGTCCTAACCCTCAAAGCCCTATAATTTAGAGTGGCCAATTCTAAACAGAGTATGGAAGAATTAACACAGGCAGAATAAAACAAACTAACTAATTAACATACAAAAACAATATAGAAATTATAAAGGATTCACATCGGGTCCGTGATCCCAACTACAAAAGGAAATTAGCCAGACATATTCATGTCTTTCATGTCTGCCTTAAACAAATACAAATAAAAATTGTTCATAAACGAAGAAGAAAAGAAGAAAGCTCAATGATCTTCAGTCTTCAACTCCGGTGGAATCTTGATCTCCAGCGCGAGTCTCCAAGAATTCACTCAATTCTCTGATCCTCACAATTCTCTCCAGCCAAAGACGTTATCTTTGGGAGTCTAAGCCTCTATTTATAGCCTTTGTGTCTTGCTCAGATATCTTGATTAAATCTTCATCGTAAATCTCAGTTCAACCTTTCTCTGATTCAGAACAGGATTTATTGCTGATTTGTCCGCACCTCCCACGCTACTAGCGTGGATCTCACGCTATCAGTGTGGGAGTTCTGTTATCAAAGTTGGACATTCACGTAACTAGCGTGGTTCCCACGCTGTGAGCGTGGTATGCAAGACTGTATGGCGCTACTAGCGCGAGTTTCACGCTGTGAGCGTGGATGCCTCTGGATTGAAAAATTCTTCTGGCGCTAATAGCGCCACACCCACGCTGTCAGCGTGGGGCTTCAGTTTGTTGCTTCCAATTTGGGCTCCATTTTGTCTGCTTTTCCTACAAAATCAGTAGAAAATCAGTTGTATGATCTTTAATTGAGATTTATCATATTAACAGTAAATACTGCCCTTTTATTCAAGATTAATCAATATTCTTTCTCTTTTTGGCTTAGATTTATACATATGCTGGAGGCATATCATGACGAAGTTGGAGCAACATGGTACAATGCAAGAATACCAAAGCCAATTTGAGAAGATGCTCTTAAAGGTTGGATGATTGGAGATTTCGAGGAAGGTAAGTTCCTTCATAAGTGGGCTCTCCGATACTCTTTGAGCAAAAGTGCAGGCAAAGACTCACTTCCTTATCTAATGCTATTGGGCTCAGTGGCGGAGCCAGCTCCAATTGGAGCACGGGCTAAAAAATTATATGTGTATTTATTTTTCTTAATTTTTGTTAATTCATATCATAATATATTTAAATTATATTAAATACAAAATATCTTAGCAGACAAAATAAAAAAGAGTTATAATTTTATTAAATATTTTTTATTTTTATTAAATATATTTTAATTTTTTTATATAAGTGAAAATAGAACATATAACTTAGTACAACTTATCCAAATTTTTCATTAAATATATTTTAATTTTTTGATAGGGTCAAATTACAAATTTTAGCTCCGGCCAAATTACAATTTTAGCTCCGGCCAAATTACAATTTTAGCCCGGGCCAAATTATAATTAATTATATAATTATATATAATAAGTACAGCCGAGACCATCCCCAAGTAGCATATGGCTCCGCCACTAATTGGACTTGGCAACTTGTACGAGGCTCAGAATAATCAGATCTCTCCAAATATCACAAGTCAAAACCTTTCTCCCAAGAATAACACAACTCGGAGCGAAAACCCATTGGTCAAACGATTTGATGAAATCTCGACATGACAACAAAAGGGGTTATACTTTCGCTATAATGAGACTTATGCATCGGATCACCATTAATTTCAGCTGTTGGATTTAAATAATCCTTATAGATAGTGACCGATGAAAGGTGCCCTGCAGAGCATATTTTCTCTTTCAAGGTGTTGACATTGTGATGACACAAACTCAATTTCCATAGTAAAAGATTCCTTCGCATTTTAGCCACGTAATAAGGTTAACAGAGGAAATTGAAATGTACCTCGGGATCTTGTCACATTCTATGTAACGTGTCTGTTACCAGAGTCCTATAGAACCATAAACCTTCGGAATACTTTTCTAGTAAAATATGATAGTTGAATTTTGAATTTGTTATGGCACGTAGGATTTAGATGAGATCGATGTGGTTTTAACTTGTTTCATTTGTTTCTTTATTACTTAGCAGATATAAAATTAAGATTATAACTGAATATAGGATCTCAGTAGAGAATGTGCTTTTAAGTTAGTGTGAATTTGAGGTTGATTTTCCAAATAAATTGTCGTAAAAGTAAAACTTCATGACGTAGTCGGAAATAAAGGAGATGTGAAGGATCTGAAGGTGAAAGTACACGTGGGCAAAAACAAGCTAATAAAGCTGAACAAGTTTCACAAACATGCGTACGTGTAGTTCAGCATAAGTAAGCAGAAACAACCCAATTCTAATTAATCAGCAAAGTCAAGTTTTTTTTTATGGAATCATAGCATCCAAGTAGAAGATCCTGCTCTGAAGATGCTCTGTGAGTCTGTGTGACACTCATAGTCCAAAAATTTATGATAATTTCCTGTAGTTTTGCCTATACATTGGTAAAGCCAAATTAATACTCTTGGTATAATTCGAATATTATTCGTTTGTCTCTCGATGTATTTTGATATAGCTATAGATTTATTTGCTCTATCTAGGCACAAGGGAAATTTTACTACTAGAAATAGTCAATTCAAACAGTCAAACCAAGCCATTGGGGTTGACTAATATTTAACGAGTATTCTATATATGTCGTACCTACAAAAGGCATAAAATCCCATATGGCAAATATAAAAATTATATGCGTAGACAAGGCGAAAATACATCGAAATTATACAGAAAATGGAGAATAGGCACAATAGTTTTGAATAGGCATATTCTTAAATCCAACCGTCGAACGCATAATTTGGAAAAAGTGCCTCTGTCGTTCAAAAGATCAATTTTAGTATCATGTTCACATAACAAAGAAAGAGAAATTACCAACGCGTTTTTGAAGGAGAATATAAAATAAAAAGAGGAAAGAATATAAAATTCATTAATCAATTATAAAAGGAGCTCAATTCGACATACTCATTTTTACACTTCTTTCTATATCATCCAAAAAAGAGAGAGAGTGAGAGAAAATAAGTAGAAGCCAATATAGGAAGGTCTACTAAAAAGGCATCTCTTGTCATTTTGACTAGTTAGAAAGCTTGAAGTAGAAGCAACAGCATGCACCGTTCCTTATCAATGAACTTCCAATACAGGTTTTTCAGCCAACAAATGCAAACACAGGTGAATCAGGTGATGGCAAAACGTGTCGTTATTATGGAGCCATGTGAAGTGTTCATAAGCCACAGAAGCATGGATACAAAAAGAACAGTGGCTACTCTTATGTATGATGATTTACGAAGGCTAGGCTTTCACCCTTTCTTGGACAACAAGACAATGAAGCCAGGGGATAAACTGTTTGATAAAATCAACAAAGCAATCATGGAGTGCAGGATTGGCTTGGCTGTTATCTCACCTCGTTACTGTGAGTCTTACTTTTGCCTTCACGAGCTATCACTTCTCATGGAGTGCAAAAAGAAGGTTATACCCATCTTCTGTGACATTAAGCCATCTCAGTTACGTGTCATCAACAACAGAAAATGGACCCCAGAGGACCTCCACCGTTTCAAATTGGCTCTTGAAGAAGCAAAATACACTGTGGGACTCAACTTCAACACCTCAGAAGGGTATAAGTATAATTTTACAAAATGATTAATTTTTCCTTGCATCATTTTAATTTCTCAAATAGGAATTAGTGTCAGGTGGGCCAATAGGAATCTATAACGGGACCACTATTAATGAGTTCCCACTTATATCGTTTTTGTTTAATCCATTATCAATCCAAATGAAATATTTTAGATATCCCTACAATTATTCCATCCATAAGCGCCATCACACATACATATGATGTTTCTCCTGCATAGAGATTGGACTAATCACTATCCAGGAATTGAAATATCAGAATAAAAACACTCTTCTAGTTATCTACTTATCTTTCTATTAATAGACGTAAAAGATTCTTTACATATAGTTTTCACTTTTTATTTAATTTATCACTCTTTCATGCTGTATTGAACAAAAGAAAAACTTTAAACAACAGAAATGATAGTAAATATTTGGAGTATTGGCGGCTAACCTATTTTTTATTTTTTTATTTTTTTTTATATTATCATTGTCAACATCAAACTTACTCTTTAACATTTGTTTTATACTTTTGTCACATTTCTCTCTTCATTTTTTGGAAAAAAGGTGTGTCATTTTAAATGACACACTTTATATCCTTTTACACTGGCAAAGAAGTGGGATCCATATTTTTAAATTTTTTTCCATCCATCTTATCTCCTAAGATTTATCTCTTTCTCTCACTTAAAATGATACAATGTTGTTTTCTTTAAAATGATACACATTTTTTTTTCTATTTTTTAATTTAAAGATTCCAACTAGTACAGTTTTTTTTTTTAGACAAAGAAAAAGAAAACTTCTAATAACTATTTATGTTAGATTTTTATATCAAAGAGATTAAGACCCATACGAGTGGGAAGAAAAAGCAGATAAGAGAATATACCTAGATTTTCCCATGTACAACAAACATTAACTTCATTACGTTTGTTTCATTTCATCATTTGAATACTTGCCTAATTTCCATATAATTACTTGAATTTAAATTTAGTTAACCGCGGGAAATTTCTTACATGTATTTTCTTTTTTCTTGTAAAATGTAGGAACTTCTCGGATATTGTGACCAGTGCTTCTGATATCATCATCAAGAGCTTGATAGAGCTAAAGGATGAAGAGCAGATGCAGCATCCAGACATGGATGTTGCTGTTTAGAACACACATCTGATAAACAATCATCGATTATACGTATTATATTATATTATATTATATTTCTCTAACATAATTAATTATAATTTGTTAATAGCTTCATTTAATTAATACGTCAGAGCTGTATAATACACATAATAAAAAGCTTATTTAGTGTTTACAAAAAAAAAAAAAGCTTATATAGATTCTGTGTACAGTGTTTGAAATAATTTATGGCGTTTCTACTTTTATAAATTGTTGCAATTGCGCTGCTAATGTTGTATTATTAATTAGTGTAATGTAAATAAAAAGGTGTGGCTTGTTGTTCGTCCACGTTGACTTCTTCTTTTCTTGTTCTCGATGTTGTTGGAGAAGCCTAATTTCACTTTCATTTTCCATGTGTTTTTTTTTTTTTTCTTTTATACTTATCCTAATTATCTCTTTGAAGTGAGCTGGTCACTTAGGAATTCTCACAAATTCCTGCTCTTTGAGCTGATTATGATACTAATCCCGAGTTTGAACTTAGTCATAATTAAAGTTCATCGTCCCTTCCCACTAGTCAATCTATATTGCAAACTGAGCTACTCTCATTTGAGTTTTCATGTGGTTTTTTGAATATGTATAATGGTTGCTCTGATCATATAAAATGATCATACGTATGTAGAACATCAGAAGAGGATAAAACATCCTAATTTTATCTATATTTCTTATTTCTATCTTACATTTTATATGTTATATTGAATTTGACAGATTGATTAATTAATTTTTAGTTCATACTAATGGCTTTCAGATGGATTTGAACGAGAAGGGATCGCAAGTCAATCTAAGTTTTATGTTTTATCTATAATCTAATAGGCTAATTGTCCATTTTACTCCCGTTTTTTTAAAACAAAAATTACAATTTTGCCTCTCCCCAAACTATATACCAATTTGTCTCTGTTTAATCAGTTGATCGACACTTTCTTGAGTAAATGACAAGAAATAGGGGTTCTTTTAAAAAAAAACCCTTTCACGCAAAAAAATGTATTTTTTCGGCATCAACTCGCATCTCCCCTTAATTAAATCGTCCCCTAACCTAAAAAAACTCCCTAAATTGCACGATTTTGTGGCTAAATTGGTGTTCTCTATCATCAATCTTTGAGTTGTCTCTAGATTTGTCTCTGATTTATGTGGGTATTTGGGGAGAATTCCCAAATCTAAGCCTACCCCCAATTTGATTTCTTTAGTTGTTTTGTTTCAAAATGGTTGCTTTCTTCGTATTTTTGATGCATTTTTGTTTGCTTTTGCAGCTTTCTATTGATCACTCATGGTTGGTAGATGTTCCCATTGTGGAAATGTGTTCCAGGATCTGACATGATGGGTCTTCTTCTTCTAGGTCGATTGATGCTGACTTAATGGTCATGTCATATGGGTACTTATTCCTAAATGATCTGACAAAGCATGCTTGGTTCATGTCGAAGTTTCTACGCCAAATCATAGTCAAGTCAAAGTCATTGGATTCGACATTTTTCTTGACCAAGGGAATTGGCATTGTTGGACTACTCGACCGTGAACTCTTGAGGGTACATGCAAAGATTTCGTGCCCATATTTAGTGGTCATAGTGAAGGCATTCTACCAAAATTATCACTACTCTAATGGAGACCTGACATCCAAAGCATGCGGCATTGACATTCTAGAGAGTGCTGAGATTTGGAAACAATTGCTGGGATTTGATTTTGATGCTGATGAGGTCGCTGCCACTTATGACGAAGAGCGTCATGCTACTATTGAATGTTATAGGGGTGCTGATATTGTGCCTGATCTGAAGAGGTATGGTGTTAGGCTTGCTGAATACACATAGTTTGGTGTGGGTTTGTTGACCTTGGATGCATGTATTCTATTCTATATCATGACCCATATTATAGTATTGCGATCTCATAATGATAGGAAGATGTTGGAGACAGACCTAGTTGTGATGTAGGGCATTCGACATAATTTGAAAGTTAACTCGAGACACTATATCTACTCCATTATGCAATGTGCAGCTAGGAAGGATGCACGTTTGTATGCCTTTTTGTTCAAATGATCTTGGAACGCTTTGAGGTGCCCGTAGATGCTGAAAGTTTCAAGACCGTTAGAGGTTGGAACTAAGTTCAAAAAGTGTATCTTCGAGCAATGTGAGATCACAAAGGTTTGGAATATATGGCAATGGAAGATGCATTCTGAGCTTGGAGTTCAGTTGGAAGAGGGGGATGCACAGATGGATAATGACAATGATGGTGTTGATAACGAGATCCCTAAACTGGATGTGGATCCTCCTTATCCTGCAAGTGAGGTTGGATATACCCTTGCTGATGTCATGACCTCTATCCATGGCTTAACATGACAGTTTGATGGGTATAGGCACAAATAAGATCCAAGGTGGACTCATACGAAAACTCATATTACTAGACTTGAAGACAATACGGGTCATTTGGAGGTCGTTGTAACACCCTGTATGCAGCCGATTTGTTAACATGCATATGGTTACAAAACTTGTCATAAGCAATTAATTTAGCAGAAGATTTTACATATAAGTATCACCGTTACACCTAGTAACATAGTGACTTAACTTTTTTCTTTTAATTTATCTTTATGTATTGTCGTGCATAATTTATTTTTCAATATAACATAATCTATATAGTCTCATACCTGCATAGAATCCATACTTAATAAATTTGTGATCATATCTGATGATCAAATGACTATCCGAATATGATAACAGATACCATTTTGAACAGAGTCTTTACGAATAGCATAACAGCTGTAAATTGGACTAATCTAGTGATCAAATCCCACTTCCACACGTATCACCTGATATAAATGAGATATTATTATTTTTGAGTTATTGTTGTTGAGATATTACTATGGAATATGGAGTATTGCTGATTGAATGAATTGTTATAATATGCCAATGTATTTTATCTGTTTTTGAATTTATTATATACCTATAAGTGAGCTTAGGGCGAAAAAGTTCTTGAGGACCCCTTGTCTTACTGAGGTTTCTTTTTAGAAATCTCACCATGTCTGGGGCACATTTTCAGGTTCAGATGGTTATATAGAGGACCCTAGAGGCAAGAGGCCGGAGATATTTAGTTGATAGTATGCTTGCATGGAGATTTACGTTGTTTTATGTATATGGCTTATGCTGAGACTAGATATTGTTACGTTTTTAATCAGACTTGGTTATTTATATTTGTGTGAGCATGGGGATTGTCCCTCCCACTTGAGATAGTATTTTATGTTGAGACTTTAATTATGTAATAATGTATCAATACATTGTCATGGCTACTTGATGTAGTACTATGACTTGGTATTTTTATATTATTTGAGGTTATATAGTACATGAGCTAGCATTACATACAGGTTTAGTACTAAAGTTTCTTTTTATATATTGTGGTTTTAATATTGAGATAATTGCACATGATATATTCACAATTGAATTAGTAAGCTTCCGCACTATGTTTTAATTAATTAAGTAGGGTTTAATTTACCATGTGTATGTTAATACATCGGGTGCGCACAGGGTGTTACATTTTATATTGGAAGATGACTATTAGGTGTAAATTATTTTTTAAAAAAAATTAGAATAATTTAGAACAAATCAAAATTAGGGACAAAATTCAGGGAAAAATGGAATTCGTCCCAAATAAGGACAAATGAATTTTGTCCCTAATTGGAACGATTAGATTCCCTCCATGATTCCCTCATTATTAGTGACAATTTCACCTTATTTCAAACCTTTTTTGTTTTCCAATTTAGGGACGAAATTTTATTTCCACCCCAAACCTTAGCGAGGAGTCTTTTTGGGGATGGAATTTTTTTCATCCCTACGTTGTTCTTGAATGAAATTATGGCATTTAGGGATAGATTCTGCCTGTCCCTCATCCTTTTTTTAGTAGTGATAAGATGATATCTTGTGCTAGGAATGTACCTCAATGATATGATATGATTGGAAACGAAGGGGGGGGGGGGTATACTTGTAAGGCTCTTCGATGTTCAATGAGTAATTATAGACTATAGATTTGAGAAGATGATAAAATCCAGGTCTTTGCCTCTATATTTATAGTGTGTGGCATGACCACTAGTAGGTTTGTTTAATAACCTTTGTATAGTGGTCATTTTGAGAAGTCTTTTGATTGGTTTATTGATGAGGTCCTCACAATTCACTTTTTCCTTCGAGATGTCTTAATGGTGGACTATCTGGTTGAGGCTAAGTGGAAATTTGTTCATGTCGTTTCATTATTAACTGAGATAGGTGATGGACAACTCTAAGCTGGTGATGAATTCATGCATGTTTCTTATTAATTAAGAATGCTTTTAGGCTAAATTGAATCTTTACCTTGGTTACGCGGGCTTCCAATAATTGATGTGCCGTATTGTAGGACTATATCATTAACCTTGGTTTTGTGAGTTTGAGAGCTTTAAACACTTGATTTGTGAATTTGATTCTCTAAATGCTCTGAGGCTAATCATGGTCCTCATCAATTTTAGTTTAGTTTTGAATAGCCATTGTTGAGGATAACCAACATCTTCTGTGTTGTGACCTACTTGTTTAATTATGTGTTATGTATGAGAGACAAACCCAAACATCATTGACAGCCTTTATCTCCAATATTGTTATTGTTTTATTCTCTTTTACCAAAGCCCAAATGGGCCCAGTGTACATGAAAAGCCCAATAAGCTCAGGCCTAGGGCTTTTTGGTGCCCATATAAATAGTCTCACTTTAGTCAACAGCCTCCAAGGCTATTTATGATAGATCTAAGAAATGAAACACTAGAGTTCCCACACACTCCCTTCTTCCTCTTGAGAATAGTTCGGAGACTTGGTCGTTCATCTTCAACACAAAGTCTTATTCGTGCTGTGATGCTGAGGAGGCCAGATCATGAAGGAGGAGATTTCGTAATAGCAGAGGTGAGATGAATCACCACGCCTACACAAGGGAGATTCCTTGTGGGTCTATGCTACAAAAGGTATAACCTTTGTGGTTGCGAGACAATGATGATTCGTAAGCTTACTAAGGTACTAAATCCGGGAAACGCTTTCGCAGATCCAATTATTCCAAAGCTATGCAACTCGACTCTTTTTAATAAGGATTGGATTTGGGAACAAAGACTGCAAATTAAAGTAGCTACTGTAACGCCCGACCACTTGCAAGATCAATGACTGTCCTCATAAACCAATACAAGATTTTTCAGCATGCTTTGTCGTGACTCACACACTCTCCAAGAAACTTTCCAGGAGGTCACCAATCTCAGAATCACTACAAGAAAAAACCTGTATAGTGACGAAATTGTTATGGAAATTCCGTCGCTAATTTCATCCTCGCTACTACTTTCCGTCGCAAATTCCTTCGCAATATCGTTTGCCAGGGAATTTACGAGGGAAAGTAATAGCGAGAATGAAATTAGCGACAAAATTTTCACAGCAATTCCGTCGCTATACAAATTTTTTCTAGTAGTGAATTGCTCCAAGTCAAGCATGCTTAATTATGGAGTTCTTAAGTTATATGCTACCGAAAAATAGATGCACCTTGTTAGTATAGGTAATACATATTAATTCCTTTAAGCTATCTTCGATTGTATAGTCCCATACCTGCACAACCTTTGGATCCTTCTCGTTCGGGTGTTGATTTGATTCATTCATGTACCCATCCCACTAGAAGCTTGCTAGGAGCCTATTGTCATAGCTCTCTTACCTTAGCGAGTCTAGACTTCAGGCACTAGATTTTCAACTGGTAGTATAGTCCAACCCATATATCAAAAGACTATTTACTCCCCATCCTCATGAGCGCTCGAGATATTACAATTACAGTTTTGAGACTTCTTTGTTGAAGTAAATTGATCTGTATCTTCCAAAATGAAAGTGTTTTATGTCATTGTGACTTGTAAGAAGTATTTCAACATATGGTTGGTGGTTTAGTTAATTAGTCAGTCAATTCCTAATTTGATTATGAAGTTAACTAAGTGATACTAGAGTTTCTTTATTGAAGTTCCCAATGTTAAATCTAAACACAATTTTTTCATTAAGTGAATTTCACTTTTTTAACTGAAAAATTCAAAAGTTAATATGGATACGAGAGGAACTTATTAAATTTGTAGAAAAGAGAACTAGAGAGAATTTGCCGATCCAGATGCTTTCCATTTCTTTGTACTTTTACATCATGTGTAGATAATAGGCTTAAATGTTAGGTATACAAAAATAAAATAAAAAATAGATAGGATCACATGACCACGAGATGCCCAAATCATATTAATGTTTCTTATATTGTAGAAGATAATTTTATTTCTTATATATATATATATATATAAAAGTATGTGGAACCCGTATTTTTTTTCTCTCTTCTCTTCATATAACCACACATGATGTAACCGGGGTGAGTTATGAGAAAGAGGATTATCAGGGAAAGAGAGATAGAGAGAAGGATAGAGAGAAAAAGAAGGGGAGAGAAAGATATTCACTTTAATCATGCTCATTCATTCCATCCTTGTGACTATTTAAACCATACCCTAAAATATCAACTGGGCCTCTCATTATAGAAGGCAATACTAATAACAATGAAAAGCATTACAAATAACAAAAGGGAGTCAGACTATTTATTTAGCCCACGATGTAGTCCGAGAGTCTTATGGGCTTGCATAAGTTTCTTCTATTCCTAAGCCCAATGCCAGATGTATTATTCAAGCCCGTTACATGTGCCCCATTTACAAAAGTAGACTCGTCCTCGAGGCTGGGGATAAGGGTTTCCACGTGTTCCTGTGCATGGGCAGCATTGTCGGATTGCAGCAGTACATCCGAAGGTGGAGAATGGATCGAGGTGC